AGACAATAATTTGACTGAAACGTATAGATGCAATCATTTATAGGTCAGTTATCACGTGTAACATAATCTGCGAGATACGTAGTTCATTTTTTATAAGAAATTATCATCTATATTATTTTATTGGACATAACTATTTCATATATCAATATTAGAAAGCCAGACATGGCATCACGAATAAGAAGTTTGAGCAGGGAAGCATATGCGATGCGGATAGTGGTATCGCGATTGATTGTATTGAACAAGACGAAAGGGATGATAAATAAAGTGACATGCTGTCAAGACGCGTGAGCAAGACAGCAGATATGATGCTGATAATAGCATCATGTGTGAGGATTTTGAAAAAGGAAGGAAGTACATAACAAAGTGATACAACAAACAACAGATCACGTTGCAACAAATTGAAAATGTCAATAATGTAGTGATACATCATCATTGGGAGTGGAAAAGTTGACATCTACAAAGAGCATACTAAGGCGTGCTAGACTGCTTATTGTTTAAACGCTATAAAACGATTACACGTGCGATAATTTTATCCCAATTCACTGAGATAAGCTTGCTAGACTGCTTCCGCCACTTGATCCCGGGATAGCAATGTGTATTCTCCACGAAGTAGCATTAAGTATATAATATTAGACACCTCATGATGGAAGGGTGGCAGATTTTTTCTAATTATACCAACAAAGTGTCAATATAAGCTGCTTGAGATGAATAGAATCGCCCTACAAACCCCGTTGATAATGTGTGAATATAGGTAACGAGTACGGATCGATATGGGGTGCTCAAAAAATCTTTAGACCAGACTATCAGCACTTGAGAATTGATTTAGACCTACTATTGATAGCAAAACTTTTTTTGGTCTACCGGATATCGCCATTTTTGACATATTTTTAAACTGGCTTCGTTGCTTGATCTTTATGGAAATTTAGAATTGCGGCGATATTTAACGTCAAATTGACGCTTTTGTAGTATGCATTGGGCTAGAGATTCGATACGTCAAAGGAGCACTGGTCACGTTATACGAAAAGCTGCATGTGGCGTAGTATGGTGATTCTCTAAGCGACTACAAGTCAACAATTTATCTATGGAAAAGCCGCATACATGGCTACTTGTGAAGCTACAATGGAAGCCATGGAACGACGGAACATCATAGCAGAAGTATAGACGCAGTCTTCGTCACAGATGTTAATTAGATTTGACGATCAGTCGTATTTCATGATCGACAAATCGTTTGCTATGGAGATACTAATAGGGATTGATTATCAGTCGAGTCTAATGATTGAAGTGCAGACTTATTTTCAACAAAAGAACAGAGTTCATCGACTTACATTGGCAATATGTACGAAAAGAAGTACAGATTAAATTGCTATAGCCGGAAAAAAGGATTGAGGACAACGAACAACCCGGTAAAGCTATGATGGAGCCGCTTCAAAAGTAAGAGAATTTATCATCGATGTGGTCGGCAGGTGTGAGAGTAAGGCGAGTAGACGAGGACTATATTTTGACGGAGGCTTTCAGGTAAGATAATCAGTCTATTTTTAACGTGAATGATAAGAAGAGATGTTTGGCTGTAAACGAGCGAAATGCGACTAAAAAACCAACAATCTAGGGACGCGATGAATCAAAATTGCCGAAAAACTTATCCAATAGATATAAAATTACGGTAGTGTCACTAATAGAACTATGCACGAGTATTTGTAATGTCATGATCTCGATCCTGTGTCTGGGTTGCGCTCGTGCTGAAATTCGTAAGTCGTTCTGGTTCCTGACATCAAGTCATCGGCATCGTACATTGCGGATGATTTTTTTTTCTAAAACAGACAGACATTTCGCATATTAAGCTCGTATATAAACGAATACATCTTGCCACATAGTGAGTTGGATAAGTCAAGAATCTGAAAATACTAGCGTGTATGAATGCTGCACCAGCCATTTTGCAATTCGACTGAAACAGTGCATATGTATTGTTACTATCAATTCCCAAAATACATATAACGGACGTGGATAGGACATACAATTGAGATAGAACAAGAATTCGGGTTCTCGACTAATTCATTAGGTCGATCTTGCTTTGTTCATGGAGGTGTAGGTGCGCTCGGTTATATGTATGATGTACCTGGCTTTGCATATTATAACGGACGTACAAGAATGAGCTACCACTGTGTAAATCTTATACGAACAATACAACACTCACACCTTTCAGACGTAACATAGATCAGAGTTGCTGGGGATAGAAACTTTAGTATGTAGTCCCTTATCGGTGAATGATCAACGATGTGTGGTGTACATAGAAAATTATATATAAGGTGTGTGAAGCCGGGGGTATTGGTCTTAATGACAATTCCCTCATGCCCACTATAAGTACCCCGTAATTTCTTGCTGCGGTTATGCTTTCTTTCTCACATATTTTTGACCAGGTAGAGTTAGCAGAGCTTCTAGATTGATGATTGGTGAATTGTACAGCGTAGATGATCCAAAGTATCGATTTCTCGAAGTACAGTCAGGAAACCCAGCTTTGTAAGCGTGATCACTTCAAAGACCGCGATTTTAAACTCAACGTTTCGTGCATTGTAGGGCCTCCTAACGTCAAACAAACTGCCTTTGTAACTAGCGTGCTACAGTGAGCCTTACATCCCAAGCATCCTTTAGCTGCAGCTCCACGCCCAATTCATTCATCCAGCCGGTAGCTTGTATGATTGAATGGTGTGCTAGGTTAATTGGTACACCAAATAGTGATATGTGTTGTTGTAGTCAATTATTTTTATTGAATGCGATGCGTTCTAATAGCCAACAGAAATGATAATCACATTACGCCAGCTCTTTTTACATCGTACGAGTAAGTTTGATTCTTGATATTCACAAAACTATAGGTCTTGGACAAATCATAGAGCTAAGCACGGCTTTGTTACTTAAATGTATCAAATTATCACGTCAGCCTAGATATTAAATCAGTATACAGCATGCTTTTGTCGAGAGTGTAGAGCAGGTAAGCATTACTGTCACACCAAATACACCGCTATTTTTCACTGCAAACAGCAAGTACTGATTATTTATGACTGCTCTCTCTTGTCTGCAATAACGCAACAGTCGCTGAGATGTTGTGAATAGTACTGATTATTTATGACGAGCGTATCATTATTGCAGATTGCAAAACGTTGTTCTAGCAGATCAAGTACGTACAAAGAAGATACTACTCAATCCGGTACTCTACCATCATATTGATGCCCCAACAGATTGGTCTGCACCGATCAGGGCGGTGCAGTGGGATGGCCACGGCGGTTCTGACCGGGAGGTTACGATTTCGTGTCCTAGCAGATGGACAGCTCCATCCAGGCTAGGATCGAATGTAAAGCCGCGCCACCGACTGGACTCTCAATGGGTCGCAGCCGGTAGACAATGTGAAGCGAGCGTGCAAAAGGTACGCCACGGAGTCGCAAATCCTGTAAGTTACTGATCGCAGGTATCTGGGAGTTAAGGACCGTAAGGGAAACTTCCTGGGTAGAAAGAAACTACCCAACAGATTGGTCTGGTCGAATGCACAATGACATTAAATTTACGATAGTTATAATGATTGGAGATAGATCGATGGAGGAAAGTGGCGTAGTCCGTATTCACGATTCCTTTTGCAGATGCATCATCCGCTAGCCCGACTAGCTATATGAGGATAGCTACCTCAGTGTTTTATGACTTTCGAACCACATGGCAGCTAACGATCGTTACAAATGAACGGGGTTGTGAGGCATTAGCAGACGCAAATAGCGGACAGCAAGCATAACAGGCAATAGATATAAGTGTTATCGTTCATACTGGTGCTTGCTGATTCCATCCGACCTTGACTGTGGCCGTCGTCAGTGTGGTGTTTCGATACAGATTGACTTATCGACATTTGACTGTTTTTACCGATTGGTACCTGCGCAACGACTGATGCATGCCATTCGGATACTTAGCCATTTGGGATCTGTATCACGTCGACGCCCTCACATACTTTTCTCTTTACCGTCAGCCTCACTTCTAGTGATTCCACTCATTCACTACCCTACTACATCGCGGACATCGAGCGTTCAAGCTGGTTGTTGCGTCTATTGCTCATATTTTTTTGCTACGGACAGGTGTTGGTCTAAAAAAATGCGGTAGTGTTGGTCTAAAAAAGGCGGTAGGATCCAATTCACAGGTACGCAGCAAAAGTGCAAGGTGGTTTTGGCTGCGTTTGCTCTCACTTATCTGCTTATCACTGTCGACGTCTTTTTTTGCCACTTTTGAAAACATAGCATACAGGAGCTGTCCAGAGTCTTTTGACTACCTTGTGTATAGTCGTCCATCCAGAATAGTTTTACTTACAGACGTTAAAACGCCTATCTTGTGAGGCTACCGTATCTATCGTGTCGACCGCAGCCGCAGTCCAGCCATGGACAAAGTATCTCGAGAACCTGTGACGCGCTGTGTTGTCTTCGATGTCAGCATTTGGATCACATTCACCGGCATCATTGCCTTAGCACCCGCCATGGAAAGCAATCCATACCATGGTCACATGCTTTTGTTGACGCCAGCGGTATGCGGTATCGTGTACGATCGTCCACACAAAAGCGCACACATCAATTCGGAACTTCGTCCATTGTGTCTGTTCATTTTTGTTATGAATGTAGCTTTCCAAAGTTCGTTACAGCAAGAATCTAAGCTCGACCGCGTATTCGTTGATTGATATGTACAATTGACACATTCTTCGCCAACAACACATTGTACGCTTACGAGCGTCGCTAAAAGTCCATACTTCTTTGCCTGCCCGTTTTCTTGATTCGGCGTGCAAACTTATCGACAAAAAGGATGCGATAAAAGTCTGATTCGACGGATTGGCAATGATGGGCTGTTCCTAATTCGCTCGACTGTATTTCCCATTCCCACGCACCAATAGGCTACGTAACCTGTTGCATTTTATATGCCTCCATCGAATATAAAGAGCTAACACACCGGTGCTCAACATGGTGCCGCTGCAGTGGCGTGACCCTATGCAATGGGGCTTCGTCTGCACAGCGTCGTTCGTACATGCCATTAGTTGCTTCACGCGCTATGTCGGGTTCGTATGTGTCGCCATTGCCATGGGTGCGTGCTCGCTCTTTTGCATACTGTAACTGTCGCCCCCAAACGCTCATCTTGGCTTCTGTATCACCTCTTCTAGCGCTTATCTTTCTCGTGGCAGGTCTTTTTATGCACGCAATCATCCCTATTCTAGCGAATACGACAGTGCAGGTACATGCCGTCTTACAAATGGGACGTCGCAATCTGCGTGAGCTCTAATCGGACTTGTCCAAATTGCAGTTGTTGTGCCATTTAGCCGTATCATTTGTGCTGCTCTTCAACATCTACTTTAACTACGCGCTCTGCTGCGCGACAGACCCGGTAGGTGCCGTATAACTCGCCACAATCGATCTGTCTTTGCTAATGGCTCGTCTTGGCGGGACAAAAAGGGCGTGATTACAGCCAAGTGGAAAATAGAGACGGACGTATGGGATGCACAAGTAGAGGAGGTCAAGAATAGCGACCAAAACGTCGAGGAGGGAGCAGCGCTGGAGCAAACAGCAGACGACGACAGTAATCATGACAGTGAACTCAGCAATGTTGAGATGGGACGTCTTCCTAGGATTCGACTCAGTGCAGCGACTCTAGACGGGGAGAAAACGAGTGGCGATCGAGTGCAATTGCCACCTGTGCAACTGGTAGACACACAGAGTGTGCACGTAGCCAGACAACGTGGTCGTCGCCCACAAGCCGAGAACGGCGTATCATACTGCCGAAGGTGCCGCCACTTTCGACCCCCTCGGGCCCATCACTGCTCGGTGTGTAATCGGTGTATTGCTCACTTGGACCACCATTGCCCATGGGTGAATAACTGTATCGGACGCAACAACTATCGGGTACGAAGACTTGTGGGATCATTGAGTGCGGTCGCGTTACTTCTTACTGCTGTGACCATGCTGGGTTACGCCTTTGTGCTGCAGTACTTCTTTTCGTTTCTTGTGTGGCTAGCCGTGGGTTGTTACTATGCCGCATACATGAGCTACCTGGCGGCATACGCTGAACTAGAACCCAATCAATACGCGAGAGTAAGTGGACTTAGTGGTAAGAGATGTTTTCCTTTTGCTTTGTTGGAGTTCTCACGCACCTTCACGGTCAGATGCTTGTGCTCGCTCAGGTGAGTTTGCTCCACGTGTCCGCATCAAAAACGCTCCAGTTTGCTTTTGCAATCTCGGCGGCCGCAGGTATAGCTGTAACGATTCTTGCAACCTGGCATGGCTTCCTCATTGCGACTGCGCAGGTACGATGGCTAAGGATGCCAGCGAAGATAGACAAGCGGGTACTAACGCATGTGTTGTTGGTCGATCTAGACGTCCGTGGAGCTGCAGATCAATCGATATCCACGCAATCGACGTCTGCATGGCGGAAAAGCAGTAAGCCCGTACTCGACTGGAAGTGTGAGCGGCAACTGGGAACTCGTGTTTGGCCGTAGCAAGTACAAGGTCCTGTCGCTCTTGCCAAGCACGCGTCTTCCGCCAAATCCGCGAACGCTGCACAAAAGACGGAGAAATACCGAACGCATGGCAAAGTCAAACTATGCGAGGGTGACAGGACGAGACTCTCGCTCTCCAGACACCATAGTCTAACCCAGCACCTCTGCTGCTCCAAGAAGTGTGTTTATCAACAGCAAACGAACAGATATGGTCAATTACTCTGCGAATGAGCAGTACGGGTGAAAGTGTAGATGCAGTACACGTCGCTCATTTCGTTGAAGTGCAGAGCAAAAAGCTCAGTCGCAGCGTCGTTGCCCACCAGTGGATTGGTCTTGTACTCGTCAGGCACTTCCTCCACACTGCAGCTGAAACCGCGCACCTCCATTGCCTTTTTGAACTCGACCAGCGAGTGCCGCGCTTGGGACGCAACATGCACGAATCGACCTTCGGTGTCCAGCATGCCGTCCACTACATCCACAAGCACTGGCACGATATCCTGGTGATACACGAGATCGGAGCCGAACAGCACATCGAACTTGTCGTCGTCACAACTGACCGGCCAGGTCTCGCGCTGAGCCCAGTCAATAGCTTCCACCTGCACGACCCTTTTCTCGTTGACCTCGCTCTCCTTCCGAGCCCCTGTCTGCTCACGCTGCGCCCGGATAGCCTTACAGTCGGGCTTGTGCTGCTTCCAGGCCTTCTTCTGGCACTCGCGGGAGCAGTAAGCAACACACCTGCATCCGCCACACGTCATAAGCTTGCCTTCCGGATTGTCGGCAGTAAAGCGCTGGACGGTACCACACCGACTACAACAGTCGAGAACGAGGGCCTCTCGTTGCTCATCTTTGTCCGGGTCGGCATTCTCGTCCTTCTTGTTGAGCTCTACGTTGTGCTCCAGATTCTGGATAGTGTGCGCAAACAGATCGGACAGTACTACACGCGAAGCATTCGTGTACTTGTGCACTGCAAGGCCACTAACGCCACAGCCCGAGCCCAATTCACAGACCTGGTTGCCATCAAAGACGTCACGGTGGTCGATGATCCATCGACTCAGGATGAGCGCCGCCGACCAGATCGACACGCCCGTTATGTCCTCCTCAGCAGTCGAACCGAATGCGTCCTTGCTCCATTCCAATGCCAGCTCTCTTGCTCGCAACGTCGGCAGTCCCGGCACAAAACTGAACTCCAGCACCGTCTCCTGCAAGACCTTTGGCGCGCTGCTGTCTGCTTCCTCTCCTTCCTCCTCTTCCACTTCCTCCTTCAAAGCATCTTTGCCCATGCCTGTACCTTCAGCCAGACGCTCCTCTGTCGCCGAGCTATGTTCCAGCAGCATTGTCACTGCCAGCAACAAACCGCCAATCCAATCAGCAAAACAGCTCGCATTCACTCACAGCCATCGAGCGGTAAAGCACGTACAGATTTCTGGATCGTCGCACTGGAAAGCTTCCGTGACGCAGCCCCGTCCAAAGTTGTTGCGAGAAAGCACATCTAAATCCGGGACGCCGTTTACCAGTAACTTGACAATCTCCCGATGCGTGTTCTGTACTGCCCAGTCTGCCATACACGCAATAACAACAACAACAGCAGTAACAAAAACAACAAGAACAATAGCAACAACACACAACAGACAATCGAAAACCACAGTGGACATTAGCACCCACCCACTATTTCGTCTCTCATCCACCCACGCTCATCTTTCCGTACGCAGTGGTAAGTTCCCATTGGCGTTCGGCACATGCCGTGCTCCGTGCTCCAGCAACTCTCGAACACACTCGACGTGGCCATTTGCACACGCTGCCGGCAGAAACAAAACCCATAAACACACATCAGTTCGACAGAAAGACCCAACATGGACACAATGGACGCCCACCCACTCACCCATGTGCAGTGGTGTGTTCAGCGTCTCTGGCTGCACAAAGTTGAGCAACGCGTCGCGCGTATCATTGTCCGCTGACTGCAGCATCGTCTTGAGCTCCTGATCGTCGCCAAAGCGCGCGCACTGGAGCACTTCGTCGGACATGGCGGCTACTGAGAGTATCAATGGCCACCAGAGCTTATCGATCGGTGGGTGATTGACGAAGCTCGAGTGCCAAGTTGTGCACGTTTGCAATGACAAAATGTGGAGGTATAGTCCGCTGGGACCTGATGATGCCTCTTGTTAAGAATATAAGCACTACTTCGAAAAGCTCCGTTTATGACATGCGGGAGCGATCAAAAAAAGTCTGCGATTGATCGCACTTTACAGTGTATCACATAAAGCGACGGCGAATAAGTGATTACCAGCTAACGAAGCTATTCGACAAGCTGTGCATGTTGTTCCCTTTCGGCAAGATGCACCAATGTTGAGACACTATTCTTTCGCCCATGAGATCTCCATTTGCTCCTCGTCTTCGAGCAACATGTGCAGCTGGATTGCACGCACGACGACCCCGCGTCGTTATGCGTCGAAATATGTCTCTGGGATAGGATAGCACGTACAATTGCAACGCGATAACGCAAGTCACTTTGATTTCGACAGTCCATGGTCTGCACGAGTAAGATGAGAAAGCTCAGACGCGCTCTCGCTTTTATATTGCTTCGATTCGATCCAGTGGCTTACGGAACACGCGTTTGCTGTTTTGATCAATTTCAGGCATTCGCCTTCCGGCGTTACTTCCAGACATGAGTGTCGTCCATGTTCTCATAGATTGCTGACCCCCTACTTTATCTATTGAGCAGCGACTTGGACCGGGTTCACCTCCACTTGACGTTGTGTTCTGCTTCCATGCTGTAATCGTGCTGATATGTCGTTTTGGCGGTCCACAAGAACGTGCAAGCTTCTGTGCGATAACTTGTCATTGCCGTAGTGCAGGTATACGACTTTGTTCGAGAATGATACGTACGATCTACAAAGCGCAGAGCGAGCAGGTTTGATGGACAGATCAACATGTAGCATGGAAGCGCGTCGCATGGTTTACCTTCTCTCTCCTACTACAAATTCCGATACTGGTGCCGATGTAGACTCGTAGCATGCGCGATTAACGTAGGTGAGATGACTACCTCAGTGGTGCATCGGTGTAGAGAAAGGAGCCAGAACACGGAAGAGTAGCCCACGATGCGATCGTTTGTGACATCAACTGCCGCGAGTGCTACGCGCAGTAGCGACATAATTGGTCAGCGAGCAGTAATCCTATCGATAAATGCGATCTGGGTGACATTGTCAAAAAGATTGTCGACATGACAGTGTTCGAGCGGATGCCCTGGTAAAAATAGTCACCTGGTAGAATTATATACTGCACGCAAGTATGCAACAAAAACAAGTTATTAACATGCATAGAATGAGCTACATTAAGTTCATGGTATCTGTATCGGGGTGCACCCGTTACATGTATTGATACCACATGAAGTCAATCATAAATAGTTTCTACTGAGACAATTCACCGAAACTTACCTTGCTAGCTTAATTTATACAAAAAAATCCATTTAAAGGTGATTTTCAGCGGTGTTCCACTCATCGATGATGTAAGTTGTCAAAGACGCCGTAGAAAGGTGCTGTTTACAGCGTTTAAAGATGCGTTCCTCGCATACTATCGTCTGAATGACGTCAAAGTAATTCTTAGAGAGAGACGAGCCACTACTAGAAGAAGGTCCCTCACTCCGATCTGCTCAGGGGTTAAGCGAGAACGACCTGCGGCTTTAGAATGGGTGGCTGCAAAAATGTAAAGAGTCGATATGGCATCCAGCCCATGTGCTTCACGGCAAGGCAGACCCGTTGATCGCGTTCGAGCGGCAGTGAATCAAGTAGGGTGGAAAAGCTTATTGGCCAAAGCATACCACGTGATGTATCAAATTTTGGTGAATCAGCTCTCATCTATCGCCTACCTCCAAACAAGCAATTGGCAACGGTCAAGAGCAACGAAAAGAATTCAGAAAAGGATTGTATCCCAGTCGCAATGTGCTGCACCATGACCGGCGCCGAGAAGATGATCTCGTTGTCGTAGGCAAATCGAAGCAACTACGAGCATTTCGCAGATCAAACACCAAGCAAATGAAGTTGTGTACTTCAACAACCTAACCGCGCGGCAAAACAGGTCAGCATTTGCTGAGTGACTCCGGCATTTGATGTAAAGATACACGGGAGGTGGGAGCTTCTTCTGCTGGACAACGCGTCGTCTCACTATGTCGCCCCTGAATGCTACAATGTCAAGCTGGCATTCCTGTCGCCAAAAATAACAGCACATCCGCAACCGCTAGACGCAGAATAGTTTGGATGGGTGGTCTCTTGGCCAGCACTTGTCACGTGTTTTTTTCTGATAGGAATCATCCGGTCATTTGATGCGTGGTATCAAAAGAAATTTGCCTGATGGATTATGGATTCAATCCACACCAGAATCGACAGAATGTTGGATATCCTAAAGGCTGTGCTCTCATCAATATGTAGCTGGGAGGAGGTTCCGGAGCAAGTAATTCGTAGCTGTTTGAGCATGTTCGATATCGTGGAGGCGGTTACGATGGTCGATCCCACCCAATTACGCGACTACAACAAACACATTGATCGATCTGTTGAGGACCAGCTGATCAAGCTCATGTAGGTTTGACTTGCGGCGTCAGTGCCGAAGAGTACATCGGTGCGGATGATGACTAGCCCATTGAGTGCGACTCAGTCACGAAAGAGCTTAAGGCGGTTTAGGACGACAGTGATGGTGACAGTACGAATGAGGTGACACTTTGGCCATCCGAGACTCTAATATGTTGTCTCCGTCTGTCATCCTTCCTTTCGCTACAGCACGGCAGTGAAGAAATGACCAAGAAGCTGGAAATTATTACCAAGCACGTTATGAAGCAGTGTTTGATGCGAAATAATCAGTGTACCATGTTTGAATTTCTTAAAATGGGTTGAGATTGACCCTCCATATACGAGGCAAATGCGCCACACATTTTGATCCGCTACATGGATGGACGAATGTCCTGTGTCAGTACAAGCAACAGGTGCTCCATTTCACGTAATATCGAACCCCCATCAGTTTTTCATAAGCAATTGTGTTTAATTTTGAGGGCCGTTGTCAGAATATCCTGGTCACGGATAGTGCTGGTTTCTTTGACCCTCTTTTTTATTAATCTTTGTCATCACGTGGCATGTACAAGCATTCGTTGCGCAGCCGAATTTTGCCGGGCGTAAACACACGATTGTGTGCATCTGCTACTAAATAATCAAAATAAGTAGCAGCACGAGGTCAGTCTATGTCGCTACTGACCGCTGCAAATTCACGTCTTAATGCGCTACGCAAAGGTCTGATACATGATATTATTAGTTATAGATAATTGATACGTGATAATGATAAGTTTATATCCTCATTACAATATCACATAATTCAGTGACATTGTTGCAGTGACGTAAGATTCTACTCAATGGTTGACATAGGCCATTACATCAACCCACTAATTGCTCATGGACGCGCGCAATGGGTGGTGAGTAGACTTCACGGTACTTGATTGTTGTATTAATCAAGTTACGATAGGACTAATAAGAACATACCTACAATAGAATTTGATTGTATTCATACATTCTTGCTTTTTTACAACTAAGCTTATCAGCTTCGTATTCTGTTATGTTCCTCTGGCGTACCATATACGCTACCTGATAGGTAACTAGTTCAGCTGTTGTCAGTGAGAGCTTTATACGTACTAAATTCCGTACGTATCTACTCTTGTCCCGTTACACAAAAGATGTCGCAAATATATATCTTCTAGGATACGTGACGTTATTACTATCAAGTTTAGCTAATACAAATAAAATTTCTTGTGGGTATCCTTGAACGTATAGGTCACCTGCAATATCGGAAGTAGTTAATTACCGCCGCTATAAACACAGATGTTCTAGTTATACATTGACGGCTTGTGCGCTACCGAGGCGGAGTAAAAAGCGAAAGATCTGATGCACTCGTGCCGTATTTCGTTATGTAAATATATAGATACACATCCACCCTTTTATACGTACACACACCCCTGAATTAGTGGCCCCTCCTTGAGTGCTGTAACCATCCTAACTAGGTACTACATACTTATACATACAAAATGCAATTAACATATTCTTTGCTACGTACACACCCCTCCGCAATATAGGCCTCTTTTGTGTCATCACACAGCCTTTCGTATGACTTCCGCTCTCATTATCCGGTACGCCCCCTTTAAGTACCCCTAATACTGCCATTTCCCCCATTTTAAACAGCTTCCAGAACAACGTCAACAACTCTTGAGACATTTGTCAAAGTGTGCGCAGCTTGATGATCGAAACCGGGAAGGATGCTGGGGAGTCCACTCGAAAAACTGGAGAAGACAATTGGGCAGTAGATGGGAGATTGGAAAGTGATTGATTATCGGAGCTTATCTGTCTACGCCTTGATTTATATGTGTCCACATATCAATCAATCGGCGCGTCTAATCATCCAACTCTTCTTATTATTCCTGCGTACTTACCTACGTAAAAAGTATCTTGTAAAAACTACACCTTAGAGTTCGGGTTGTTACGGTAATCTTCAATACGTCCCCTTAATCCGAACTCGCACGGATGCCGAGAGCTGTTGTCAAGTTCTTGTGACAAGGTCCTAAATTCCTTCTTCATGATGTCCGCCATCATCATAGAAGTCTTGCAATACTCGATCTTCACTTCACCGCGCGTGGCCCCATCACGGATGTGATGGTACTTGATGTCGATATGCTTGGCGCGGCCGTATTTCACCGAATTTATCGTCATCTTGATGCACGACTGGTTGTCTTCCCGGATGACGAGGTCCGGTCCCGACTCTTTTGCGGCCGCCAAAATCTTGCATAGCAGGCGATAAATCCAATTGCCTTCCTATATGGCCAGTCTCAGTGCAATGTACTCTGATTCGCGCTTGATCTCGAACACCCACTTGGTGCCGATCGTGCCTTGGCCTCTTGGCAGGATTGCCGCACGAAAAACTCAACAAAGATACATCGACTTGAGTTCCGCCTTCACCGCACTTCGCCAATGAACTTGATCAGGACCGTTGATTGCGT